TTGGCTTTATATGATAGATTATTAATCTCGTTAATGTAAATTAATTTAACCTCTTTTAAATTCTCATTGATGTAATTTCTTTAAACAGTTGTATCTGAATTAAATTTTTGCGACCCGCAGTTTAAGAAACGCTGCTCCAAACTACTGCATTTACCCAATAATCTCCCAATTTAAAGCTTGTCGAACATTGAGAAAAGTGGAATTTGACAAAAATTTGTTAGAAAAAGGAAGTGTGAAATTCAAAAAAACAAATAAAAAAGGAAGTGTGAAATTCAAAAAAACCAATAAAAAAGGAAGTGTGAAATTCAAAAAAACAAATAAAAAAGGAAGTGTGAAATTCAAAAAAAAAAAAAAAAGTGTGAAAAAAAAAAAAAAACAAATAAAAAAGGAAGTGTGAAATTCAAAAAAACAAAAAAAAAAAAGGAAGTGTGAAATTAAAAAAAAAAACAAATAAAAAAGGAAGTGTGAAATTCAAAAAAACAAATAAAAAAGGAAGTGTGAAATTCAAAAAAACAAAAAAAAAGGAAGTGTGAATTAAAAAAAAAAACAAATAAAAAAGGAAGTGTGAAATTCAAAAAAACAAACAAAAAAGAAAGTGGGAAATTCTGCTTGTGTTTGTGGATTTAAAAATAAAACTTGATTTTATGCCATTACAATTAAAAACGGCATAAAAGCTTAATGTGTACAGCAAAATGCTAATTCTTCCATTTGTATAACGGGCTCACCAGCGGCTGAGCGGTAAAGTTGTTGAAAACTGGTAGTTTGGTCCAGGGCTCGAACCCCGGCGAACGGGCTGGCTGCATGGGCGTTTTCGTGGTTTTCCCCATGTGTAACGTGTATACGAGCTAGGTTTCCTTAGGAAATCCTACGTGAAGCTGTCCTCCCTTTAGGTAGATAGCCCTCATTTGCTTTGCCGTAATCAAATGAGCCAAACCACTTGTACAACGAACAGCTTTAAGTTAAATTTTTGTGCGGTGATTTAAGACTTCCAATTTTTTTCTATAAAAACCATAGTTTTTCATTTGAAAATGAGATTACACACAAACTAACACATTACATGCATATATGTAAATTACATTTTCAATATATAAATATATGAATGTGTGTGATTATTACTGATTCCTCTGGGGGGGTAAAGCAAATGAATTAATTATTGATAAATTATTTTTTCGTTCTTGGAAAAGTTTTTTAATTTTTGCTTCCAACTGAAATCTTGTAAAATTTATCAAGACCTTATACTCTGAAGCTGATATTATGGATGCTTGAATGGTTAGCACTGTTTGCTGGAACTGGACATGCGTAATTTTGAACTTAAGAACTGTACATCTTTTATCAGTCGTCGATATCAGAAGCACTTTGAAGCTGATTTTTAGTAATGGCTTTTTATAGCTGAAAGGGAAATATCGAAAAAATAACTACAACAAAGCACGCTTCTTTTATCTTCTTATATCAAGCATTATATTTAGTTCCCGAAATTCATTTGTTGCGATCCTCTCGATGAGTGTATGTAACTAGATAGTTTACCAGTGGCTCTCAGTTTATTTTATGGCTGGCTAAGCCGCTTAAAGTTAATGCATGACCAACCACCACTTTTCACGCGGTTTTGTCCGGTTATGCTCTCTACGACTTAAAAAAAAAAAAAAATCGAAAGCTTGACTTATTTGCCGTAGTGGCCGTTATGCGCTAAACGCGAATGTTTCTAATCTAATTGTCGATTTTTTTTTCCTTGTCGCTGTTTTGGTGATTTTTTTTTTCGTTTTCCTTCATCTCGACCGAAATTAATCTATAGCTAATTATGCATTCTAACGAATTATTCTTGCAAAAATAGTAACAAGCTTCCTCTGATTAGTAATACAATTACTGGCTTGTTTTCATTAAAAAAAAAATCTTCCGGATTTGAAAGTCATTGGAACTAAATACAGCTGAACCAAAAGTAGAATTTTTTGGATTGAAAGGTCAACAAGGATATTTCCTACCCCCCGTCCTTTCTTTCCTTTACGTTTAATATTTTATTGCACTGTTGGATTTCGTGTCAATAATGTAATTGCTAATTTTGGTTTCAGTATGATCATTGAATTATCCGTTTCATAACATATATATATACATATATATATATATATATAAAATAGAGTAGTTCTTAATTTTAATCCACTAACGAGTTTGCTCCATGTGCATTTTCATTTGTTTTCCCAGTATGCAAAATAAATATGAGATAATTGCACTTAAAAGCTCCTCAGTGAAATCATCTCTTCATTGAAATAACCCTAGGGTGATTTTTTATAATCTAGTAAACCCAAATCGTTCTGGATTTTAAAATTTCGGTTCTTTTTGAAACAGCATATGGAATTCCTAAGCCTCTAGGTGCATGTTTCGCGAATGAAATATCGAAATGTAATCTTTTTCTCTGAACCAAGTTGATAAAAGACACAGTGCCGTATTGATATCTTTGTGCGAAGCCTTTGGACATTATATTTTTTAAGAGTGAAAATCGGCTCTGAAGATTTTTGAAATATGCAGATAACTTCAAAATGCATTTCTTCATATTAAACTGAAAGCTATACTTTAATATGAAATTCGAGCATTTTGTATTTACTCGAAAATAAGATCCCCTGCCTTGCTAAAATTTTATTTTAAAATTTGATAAGGTTTTACAACTGAGTACTTTTAATAAATGAAACTTCAGACTAAGAGAAAGGAGCTCAATTTTCCTATTAACAGTGTAATTATCGTATAGAACATTTGCACTGTTTGAATGCTAAATAAACCATTCGGGTAATTATGTATCAACTGCATAACTGTCGCTAAAGGATTAGGCGTTGATGTAACTACTGCCAACGTAGCATGGTATTACAAGTATGGATTGTATAAACTGCATAAGTACCCTTAATTATAATAAACAAATAAATTCATTCTAATCAGGAACAAATAAATTCTAATCATAAAGGCATACATTATTTTATTTATCTTTCATTCTAATCAGAAACGAATGGATTCTAATCAAAAAAAAGGTGTTTGTTCTCTTCAAATATTCATCTACATTTTTATTTTTAAAAATTTATTCTAAAATGTAAAGGGGCTCTTTGATTTGAGGAGGTGTTGTTTTCGAATAATATTTGAGTATAATTTCGCGCGTATTAAAAAATAAAGCAAAATATTAAACTTAAAATGATGTCATTAATCGAAAGCTATTTACAATATTTTTATTGCTGTTGTTAAAGCGAGTTGGGGGAGGGGAGAATTCATGTAAAATGATAACTCACGTATTTTTAAGGAAAATCTTTTTTGCTGTTGGTGTTTAACAAATCATAAAAAAGGATAGGGCTCACCAGCGGCCGAGCGGTAAAGTCGCTGAACACTAGTAGTTCGGTCCGAGGTTCGAGTCCCGCGAACGGGCTGGCTGCATGGGCGTTTTCGTGGTTTTCCCCATGTGTAACGTGTATACGAGCCAGTTTCCCTTAGAAAGTCCTCCACGAAGGCATCCCTCCTCTTAGGCAGATAGCCCTCGAGGCTTTGCCATAATCACACACACACACATACACATACAAAGGATAATCTTTGTAGGATTAAAAAAATAGAGGTAAAATCTTCTCTGCGGTAAACTGCCACGGAAATATCTTATAATTTTATTGCGAAATTTATAGTCTAAGAATTACAACTTAAAATTCCAGTAACTCTTATTTAAGTATGAGTTTGCTCGATACGGAAATCAAAAATAATATTAACTCTGAAAATATATGCAGTGTTGAGGATCTACGCAGTTCTATTGAAAATTTTTTTTAATTAATCAAAATGTGTAATAAGCAGCTAGACAACTGTTTTAATCCCCTATTATCTCATCATTTGGAGTATTTGTGACTGTGTCCTTTTTGCATTATTTGAGCCCCAGAAGAACGTTAAATTGGAAAAATCATTACATTAATATCTTGAAAACAGTGATTTTTTGTAGAATACGAATGGACTGGAATCCCGTAGAAAGCTTGAGTGTTTGTTAGTGTATAGTAACATTTCTGCATGGGAGATTTGGCTTCACATGAAAATTTATTTCACAACTAGGTTATTATTAAGCAATGTAATTTTAATTACTTGTGTTCTAAGTCAATTATTTTGTTGGTGTGATTGTTATTTGCATCTTTTGTTCTAAGGTGCAAGAATAAATAAAAAAATTCTCCAACATATAACAATTATTACTATTGTGTTTAGAAAACTTGATTCTTTGTTGTCATTGACACTTTTCTTAAAACAATTACTAAATACCTTCCATAAAGACCAAGTCCTTTGAACTGTTAATAAACTTATTATACTCGGTGAACCATGATTATTATTTTTTGCTCGAAGAAAGCCAGATTAACCAGTCAATCGGTTATGCAGAGTGTCGGCCGACGAAGGTCGGACGAAGTCTTTAAAAACCCTCACAAGCTGAAAATATTCACAAAAATCTGCGGGTTTATCCAGCCATCGAAGACAAGCTGAGATCACGAGAGGGTAAAATCTGGGTCAGCTTGAATTTATTTCGTTTTATTTATGCCTAAACCCGTTTTCGGTGTTGTAATATGTTAGCCGTTGTTTTCCCAGTTTTTCCGTGGCTGTTAAATTTCCGTTTTAAAGATTGGAATCGTGCATTTTCTTGGGGAAAAACTGCACAATGGAATGTGCAAATTTTCAACAGGAAAAAAACGTATCACGTAGGAAATCTAGAGCGATACATTTAGTATGAGTCTTCGTTGATAGTTTTTGTTTCCATAGATAAATTACGTAAGATTACTTACTAGATGACAGGTTAACAAATTTCACAGGATTGTATTTTACCCATGGGAAAAATCTTGTGCAAATAAATCACTATGATCTGTATGGTGATATATCAAATATTTATGAGTGAAATAAGATCAATAGGTATTCTTTGTAAAATGTATGAAAATTTTAATCGATATTGAAAAAAGTGTAACTTAAGTAAATTTGTAGGAAATGTATTAAAATAAAAATTCTGCTTATTTTTTCCTCAGTTAAGGTATGACAGAATGGCCCAAGAAAATCGAACTCAGAGCAAATGAACACAAAAATGAACTTCAAGACTATGTGGCCGAAGATAAACCAAACTGGACATGATAGACTTCACTTGCTTTTGGATTACCCGCTATATTTACTTTATAAAAAAAAAATTCTTAGTAAACAGAATTATTTTTATTACTTTAGTCTGCTAAAGTAATAAAATTTGCATGTATTTAACATCTAAGTAAAAGTGATTTATTTTAATGGGAAAACGCCTTACTATTATACTGCACATGATATATTCACGTCTATGTGCGCATTTCATATGCTGTCTTTATAAAAAGTATTCTCTGTGATCACCGTTTTTACTAATTGCACAAAAAGTGTTTCTTAAATCTTTTTGACTCAGATGCAAGGGTCATGTGCTTTCCTGTAATTGACTAAACATAAAGGTTATTTTGTTTATATCTTCGGTGACAAAAGATTTAAACTTCTTTTCAATATTCTGTGGTAGGTTATAGGAGGAGACTATTATCTATTTTTATCACACAAACTTTACGTTCTTTTAATTCATGGTTTATTTATAAATAAGATAATAACAGACATAAATATATAACGAAACCAAAAGAGCTTTTCTGTAAATTTGCGTCGTATATGAAATTTTAATATAATAAAAATCTTAATTTTTGATTTAAATGTAATCTCTTTTGTCGATAAAAGCTGGACTATTTGATTAATGTCAAAAGCATTAGGGGATATCTGCGTATAGGAAAGAAGGCATTCATACAAAAGAGTTGATTTGCGGCAAAGCACGTGAGAGCTCTTTGCCTAAGTAAAGTAAAACTAGCTTGTATTTACCTTACACAAGAAAAGAATAACGAAACATCCTGTACAGGCAGCCCAGGCGCCTACATTTGAACTCAGGGTGTTTAGCACTCTTACTTCTCGGCCACTGATATGCCAGTTCTGTAAGCAAAACTGGCTTTGTGTTTACATTGCTTGTCAAAATTAAGATAGGGTGTGTGATTATGGCAAAGCCTCGGGGGCTATCTGCCTAAGGAGAGGAATGCCTTCGTAGAGGACTTTCTAAGGGAAACTGGCTCGTATACACGTTACACATGGGGAAAATCACCAAAACGCCCATGGAGTCAGCCCGTTCGCGGGAGTCGAACTACCAGTGTTCAGCGACTTTACCGCTCGGCCGCTGGTGGGCCCCAAAATTAAAATATCGACAGAAATAAAACTCAATTCTAAGTTATTGGGAATTGACTGAAAGATATACAAAAGCGTTATTTCACTTAAATTAATAATTTCGACAATTGATTAATCTCAAAATATTGAATTTAAAGTCCAATTTAGGGAAATTTAAAAGTGATCTTCCCTGTTTTGAAACTATTCTTTCTTAAAGACTATGTGTCGCCATTCATCGTTTTCTGAACTGAACAAATACCTGTTTGATACTGTGTGTTGTCACTTCTGACAAAAAATGCGAAAAGCACATCTTGATTTCACAGCATTTACCAAAGTTTTGATTGAATCTTATGCAAGTGCATGCGACTTTCCGCATCCTGGAGAGTTCCGCGGAGGTATTTACGTTTCTCATTTCGGCTACTCAATCATATATGCTTTGTCAGGTTTTAAATCTGTGAGTACGCTGGCGAATGCATTTCGAGTGATATCTTCTATTTCCGAGAATTTTGACAGCAGTGACTGTCAAGCGGATGAACATTGTCATTCATCGATATATGGGCCAACAGCAATTCTTAAAGCTCTGCAATGAGTTACAAACCTTCAACAAAGATATATAGCTTGGTGATTGCACTCAAAATTATGAAATCGATTCTGTGGAAACCGGATATTTCTTGAAGATGTGCGAGCAAGTTGCGTGTTTCTCTCCCCTCCGGGTCAAAATTTGTCTAGTTCTGGCTATATCTAGACTCATCAGTAAGCGATAAATGACGGTCTCAGCTCTTTGTGCCTGTTTTGACCATGACTACGTAGCGCCTGAAACCGAAACCCTTATGGCAGATGAAGTAAGTGAGACATAAACCACTGGTTTCTTTGCATAAAATCCAACCTCGAGAAGCCTTCGGGCTGAAGAAAGACCGAATGTTGAAATCATCTGTCTTGTGACTGATTCGAGGTTCGAATCCCGGCGAACCGGCTGTCTGCATGAGCGTTTCGTGATTTTCCCCTTGTATAACGTGCATACGAGCCACATTGCGTTAGAATGCCCTCCTCTTAGGCAGATAGCCCTCGATCGCTTTGCCATAATCAAATAAACCAAAACAAGCCTTGTCACTGATTCGCGTTTTCTTCGAGCCTACAATGACAAGAAACGGTCTTCGTATTGTATTGCTGCTCTTGGCTTTCCTTGACCAGGTTGTCTACTAACTGACTGACTGCTTAAAACCTTGAAAATTTTATGCAGCCAGCCTGTTTAGAAATCTAGTAAAACTACCACTGTACAGCGGGTTTATCCACTGCACTATTGGTCAACCCATTTCTTCCGTAAGTTTAGCAATTAAAATTCTGTGCATCTAGTTAAAAAGAAACTTAAGTTTTTTATTATTATTTCTCCGCCTTTATTAGATACCCATTATTTCTTTATATGATACTTAGCAAACTGAATTTCTATGAATATCCTGCTTTTTTTTTTTCATTAACTTCCAACACGATAGTTTAATTAGTTAGTTTCAGCAATCGCATTTCTTTAAATCCCTTTTCAGCGTTTAGTGTTTGAAAGTTTTTCTTGTTGAAATACTGCGTCTAAATCATCATCTTTCTTTGAATGAGCCTTCATTCATATTTCTTTTTGCGTTTGTGCTCTAAGTGTCCGGCATTGCCATCTGATACGAAAAGTAGAGCACAGCGGAAGTCGTTAGATTAAGCGAGCGTGTGGTGGTTTGCATTTTTTTAAACAGGAAGAAATTAATTACGTCCTTATACGATTGTTTTGATAAGCGTTCAAGAATGTACTCAGCGATGATAATGCTTAAATCCTGTCAACGGTAGTACCGCAAAATTGCTCTTATTTTAATCATCAGGTTTGAAGAAACCGTTTTATTTGTAAAGCTACAGTGAAGAGGCACATCAGCGCTGTTAAGTAGCCTATATAAATGTTAATTTAATGTCTGCATGCATACTTCGCCTTATTGCGTTTAGCTGATATTATTATTATTTTTTTAAGATAGAAAGCTCTCAGAAAAATGCAATCGGCCTCCACCATTTTGTAACGGAATTTGCCCACTTCGCGCCTCGGTATCGCATTCTCTCAATATTTCTAAATTTTTCCTTTACTATTGCACTGAAATCATGCCACTAAATATTCTGCGGCTAATACTATATTTATTATTTTTAATTCTTTTAAAAAGTGCTATTTTTAATTTTATAGTTATTAAAATTGCTAATCCCATGAATTCACACCTTTCTTTCCCAGAATACTACATTTACTTTTATAAATTTCGTACATTTAACACTGAAATTCAGTCTACTAAAAGCCTAATAGTAGCCGAGCGATAAAATCGTTGAAGTTAGCTTTGCCTTGTTAAAATAATCTAACCAGACGCCTAAAAATTGTGCAGTTACTTAAAAAGAAAATAAACTCGTATCTTATTTGAAATCAAATGCATCAGCGACATAGTGGACAAGACGGCTGAAAAACTGATAATTCGGGTAGAGTTCAAATTCTAGCAGGCCTCCCCCCCCCTCTTGCTTGGATTCTTTTTTAGTCTATCCTATGCGTGGCATGAATATAAGAAAATTTATTTTCCTCAAAAAGTTCTCTATGAATCCATACGATATCCAGACGATTGCCCTACCCTTGATACAGCCAAATTTTGCTGATGTGTGATGCCACCAAATCCTAGTCTGCTCAGAAGCTACTATTCCCTTTGTGTAAGTAAGTGACGTCAGCGCTGGGAAGAGCCTTTTCTACCGACATCGGTTTCAGCGCTGTACATTTAAGCATCTTTGACACTGACTTTACATAAGCTCGAAAAATTTACTGGTATGTTGTCCGACGCTTTTTGTCCAACAGTATTCATCTGCAGTTTTCCGCATAGCTTGCCTTTTCTCACTTCTGTAATCGGGATTTGTTACAAATCTTTAATGAAACTGAAATCGAGTGGATGTGAGACTTAGTTAACCACTTGCGATACGACTAAACTTCACAGTTGCGCTGCCGTGCGCTACAATATAACAAGCGGTAAAGTGTCTCATTTACGCCGCTCCACGTCTGCGAGTGCAATCCAGAGCTGTAACTCGAGAAATAAACAATCTCTGTTGTTAGGCGACGTGTGTACCACGTTATTTTCATTTTTGCGATAAATTCCTATCGACGTGGTGTTCACGTCGCTCGCGGTTTGAGGCAAAAGCATCTCGACGTGCGTGGCACGTCATTTTAGCGCAAATGGTTAAGGGCTTGGACTAACTTCGGGGAAGCTCTATATAGGCTTCTTCGTGGGTGACGTGAATATGAGCCAGTTTGCCTTAAAACGTCTTCCACGAAGGTAACCCTTCTCTTAAGAAGATTGCCTTCGTGTGTTTAGCTGTGATCATTGAACAATATGATCAATCTAAATTATTCTGAATAGGTTACATAACGTACTACAGTACACTGATGCAATATGAGTTTTTTTATTTTTCCCAAATTTGATAAATCATAGCTTGTGATCAGCTAAAATTAGTTAAAAACAAAATTCAATGCTTGTTTAGGCCACTGTTCATCATCATATGTTTATCACTTTAGCCTTTTGAGAAACGCGTCATGATCTTTCTTTCCCAGCAGAAAGATTCTCATGTAATCAAAATTATAGCCAGTTTAAGTAGCTTAATATTTTATTGTGTTTTTCTATTCAATCACGATTCTTGTATTTGTTTATGTTTAACATATTTCTAAGTGTCAGAACAACATACCTTTAATTTCAACTTTCCTGTTTATTCCCTTATAACTAATTACGACAACGGAAATATATCATTGTCAAAGTAACGCATCATTTGCCATGAAACAGAGTGCTTCAACTTGCTCATTTCGCTGTTTGTGTGGCCTAATAATGGTAAGTAATTCATTATCACAACAGAAGGAATTTTCTTCCAGTCAAAGTAAGCCATTTTGTAAGATGTGATTTATTTTAAAGCAGGTGTACAACTCTGATAATTTCGTCCTGAAATTAATTCTCGATTGTGGGACAGTCTTCCTGCTCGGGTATTTTGTAGGGACCAATTTTTTCGTAAACCGGGTATTTTGTCTTAAACCAAATATCCATGCCTT